GAGAGAGAGAGAGAGAGAGAGAGACATCAAAGAGAGTTGATTAAAGCCTTATACCTTTTTATATGACATAAGATATGGAAACATTTGCATATACAGTGGATATAGAAAAGAATCTCCCCCCTTTAAAATAATCACATTTTCTTGCTTTGCAGCCTGAAATTAAGACAAACACAGTTTTTGTTTTAACCAGCCGTGTTTACTCAGTGCTACTTATAACATCCAAGTGAAAGATATAACACCAACATGCCAGAAATAAATAAATAAATTCAAAAATTAAAAATAAAACAGAATCACTAAGTTAGAAAAAGGATCACCCCCTTGTGTCAGTATTTTGTTGAACCACCTTTTGCTTTAATTACAGTCTTTAGTCTGTTGGGATATGTTTCTACTAACTTTGCACATCTAGACTTTACAATATTTGCAATATTTAAGACTTTAGTTCTTTGCAGAACTGCTCAAGTTCAGTGAAATTTGACTGTGAGTATTTGTGGACTGCAGTCTTCAAGTCATTCCTCAGATTTTCAGTGGGGTTTAGGTCTGGGGTCTGACTAGGCCACTGTGTGCTCAGTTTTGTTGTGTGCTTTGGGTCATTGTCATGTTTGAAGGTAAACCTTCTTCCCATTGACAACTTTCTGGCAGAGGGCAGCAGATTCTCCTCAAGAATTTGACTGTATTTTGCCCCACCCATAGTTGATTGTTTGCTTCATTTGCACTACACCAAGGACTGAAGCAGAGGGCAGCAGATTTTCCTCAAGAATTCGACTGTATTTTGCCCCATCCATTTTTCCTTGCGTTTTGGCAAAGCTCAGTCGTGACTGCATGTGGCCTTTCTTGAGGAGTGGCTTTTTTCTTGCAACCCTCCCATACAAGCCACATTTGTGGAGAATTTGTGATATTGTTGTCACATGCACACAATGACCACTCTTCGTCATAAACCCCTGCAGCTGCTTCAGAGTTGCTGTAGGCCTCTTGGTCACCTCTCTGACCAGTTTCCTCCAGCTCCTTCATCCAGTTTGGAGCGACGTCCTGATCCAGGGCGGGTCTGTGTTGTACCAAATACCTTTCACTTCTTAATAATAGATTTCACTGTGCTTCTAGGCATTGATAAAGCCTTTGAAATTTTTTTGTATCCATCTCCTGACTTGTGCCTGTCCACAACTTTATCCCGGAGATCTTTTGACAGTGCCTTGCCACAAATAGTTGATTGATTGCTTCAGTTGCACTACCAAGGACTGAAATGCTCCAGGAAAGCTCTTTTCATACTGAGCTAAAAATAAAATGAACACAGCTGATCACAGTTGAAACAAAGCCACTAGAAGGCAAGCCTGCAACCTTTAGCCAAAAAAGCGTAACGGCTAATGCTAACGCTTTGGCAGTACGTGGGAAAGTTGACCAGAGGCCGTTTTTTTTTTGTTTTTTTTATAAACAGCTTTTGTGAGGAAACAGCTTATCATTTAATGAATCAACAGCCCATCGGCTAATCTTGAATATGTTTTATAGTAAACAATACTTTTGGATTGAACTATTTTTAGAGTTTACACCGAAAAAAATGCCGTTTTATAAGAGAAGTCACTGACTTTTTGCGACAGGTGGGATTCAGCTTACGGCATTTCTCATTCATTCCTATGGTATCCGTAAACGGCGATTGAGTGTCGCACAACTCGGACTAAAATTCTATGATGTCAAGGCTGTAATGTGATTGGTTATTAAGGGACACGTGATCCAAGTTAGCCGTTACGCTTTCTCCAATAGTAAGTAATACAGACCCTCTCATCTCCCAATAGTAAGACAATCTCTGGTTGAAAGTCAAATGGCTTTGTGTGCCATCGAGAAGGTGATTAGTTACACCTGATTGAGTTTACAAGTCATTTTTAGGAGGGGCTGATCTTTTTCCAACTCAGTGATTCTGTTTTTTTATTTTTTGTTGGTGTTTTATCTTCCACTTGGATGTTATAAACTGCACTGAGTGAATACATTTGGATAAAACAAAAACTGTGTCTGTCTTCACTTCAGGCTGCAAAGCAACAAAATGTGATTATTTTAAAGCATTCTGGCACTCTCACACACTTACATTCTCCTTTCACATACATACATTTCTACCTCTTCCTGTTAAAGCACGAAGTCACTCTCAGACCAGGAAATACATGTGCAAGACTTGCTCAGCTCTTCCTCACAATTTTACAATGATGCTATTCAAAGTCATTCTGTTTTCTTTTCAAGTACATATTTTAAGTTTTTAATTGTAAAATATCATTATGGAACCTACGTGTTCTACAGATCTGTGTACAAGTGTGATGATACTGATTTTGATCGTATAGACACGGCTCAACACTAAGGAAATGTTCAACTGGCCCGGTGTGGCCAGTGGTTTAAATTTTTTACTTGCCCTGGCAAAATTTTCACAGGCCTTGCCACAATCAATCAATCAATCAATAAATCAATAAATAAGACTTATTGTTTTCATTGTTGACTGTAACACTGTATTGTAATAAATGATAACCATTTTGCACAAATAGGTACAATAGTTCAAAGATAAAACTGAAATGAACCATGCTTTTTCAGGTAGGTCTAACTCTATTCCAGTTAAGGATGCACTGATCAGGATTTTTCGAGGATCGATTCCAATTGCCGTTTTTTTTTCAAATGAGCCGATTCCCATACTCGTTGCCAATTTATTTCGTTTTTATTATTTTATTTATTTTTTTTACATTTATTAAATGTTTATTTTGCTCTGTTACTGGCCAAACTAACCTTAAACAAACAAACAAAAAAAATGCATTAATACAGATGAAAGAATTAACATCATTACTTGGTATAAACCCATAATGCATTACTAATGCAATTCTAATAGTTTTCTCATGCCTCCAAACCATTAGAGCATTATACATCACTAAATGATAATGGCCATGTTTGATTATTAACACCTCAAGGGAGACATCACAAAAATCATGTTTTAATTTTAAAATAAAAACTGGTTTTCACCATGAGAAAATGCCACCTACCATCAGCGCTCTCATATATCATGCCTTGAGAGTCCACGTCTTACAATATATATATACAGTAACTCTGATAATTTCACAGATCAATAATCCTCACTCACCCCAGTTAAAACCATCACAGCGCTGCCATTGCTGAGTTTGCATTCAGTCTTTTTGAGCAGCTGTATTTCAGAAGATACAGTGCATGTACTGAGAAAGCATGTATCAGACTTGAGTAAAGAGCAAAGAAGCCAACATGAGCCACACCCACTGACACATAGCCAGATGGTAGAAGGATGTGACATGGTGTTGCAATTCTATATTATCATGCAGTTCTGCTTTCACAAAGGAAAAAACTATTTACACACCGCCAGCTGCAAAGCAGAGTGATTAAGACAAATGGAGTCTCAAGGTCATTGAAGTTTTAATTTAATAGATTTACATCAATGCAAATATGACTTGGCAAGCAGAAGGTTTGGGTGTGATTGAGAAGGCTGGCCAGAGGTGGGACGCACAGCACACACAAGCGGCCTTATGCAGCGATGAGGCTGTGGTGAGGGGGGCGAACCACACAATCCTGCTCTTGTGTGCAGGACGACAACTCAACGACTCCTGTCCATTGAGATGCCCCCCACCACCTCCAGAGGCCTCAGTTATAAAGACATGCGTATAGTGACCCTAATTGTGAATGCATGACAATTTTCAAAATTTTGCCTTACGAACAATTCATTAAACATCCAAACACACAAAAGATTTTCCTAAATACATCCCACTTTATAAAATCGCAGTTCTTCTTAAATTCAAATGCAATGTGAATATATGTATGGGTGAAAGACGAAAAGGGTTTTTCAAGCATCAAATGAGACAAGTTTAATACAGATTTACAGTTTTTTTTCCTTGTGTCCTGTTTAATTTAATTTTTTCTGAGCAAAAAATAATGGCTATCAAACATTTTTACCATGATTTACAAAAAACAAAAAAAAAACGTCATTCAGTGTAACAACAGTTTATAAATCTTGTCAGGAATATTTAGAACCAGAATCATCAGATGACATTAAAAAACTCTATTTGAGGATCACAGTGCAGCCCCACAAAAACTAATTCACTGTCATTTTAAATCTTTACCAATCTTTGCCACTATCCTTCAAACCACTAGGTTTTACCCATTTATCAGCAAAGACATATTCCTTGTGTGTGTAAGCACACTTGGCAATAAAGATCTTTCTGATTCTGATCAAAAACAAAACTAATCCACTGCATCCTCAGTGGCTCTGATGTCGGAAAAAATGAAGACTCTTATGTTCACTTTTACATCCAACTACAAAACACCTGCAAAAAAGTGGTGCACAGCGTACAACTGCCTGAGGGTGGAAATATGCTAATATGGGACAGTCCATCAGTCGTGGGCAGGGCCTGAGCAGAAATTACGTCACATTGCTCAGAAAATCAAAACGGCTTGATAATTGAGACTGTTTAGGTTTTTTGGGGATTTAAAAAAGGAATGAATGGATTCTTATTATTGTAGGGTGGTTGTGTCCACTAGGGCTGTCCAAAAAAATTTAAAATAAAAATCCACATTCTTAGGTGTGCGTCAGGCAGCCTTATCAGTGGCGCACGAAATGCGACGACGATGTAAGTGCCTTTGCATTTCAATGCTTTTGTTATAGATGCGGCGCTGCTACATTGTTCATTCAAAATATTGCAGAAAAAGAGAACAATCAATGCGGGGAAGATGTGGTTTACGTCAAAACCGAAACCAAGCCGTTCACACAGAACGCATATTTATTGCATTTTCTAGAGGGACATCTATCACCGTTGCACTCGCGTCTCGCACAAGAGAGCCGCATGTTTAGAAAGCTATTCA